GGCATGAGCATGAAATAAACCGGAGGAGATGAATGAAGAGCTGAATGAGGATACGCAAACTTTAATTTTATTTTATTCGCATTTTTACTCCCATCGCGTAAATAGTTTCTCACTGTATTAAAAAAATCCAAATCAACTTCAGGTGATAAAAATTTGGTAGTTGAAATTAAGGTTCGCAAATTAAGGGTCACAAGGGTCGAAATAAGGGTCATAAAGGTTAGAATAAGAGTCACGAGTCGACATAAGGGTCATGAGGGTCGGTATAAGGGTCACGATGGTCAGAATAGGGGGCACAAGGCTCAGAATAAGGGCCATAAAGGTTAGAATAAGAGTCACGAGTCGAAATAAGGGTTATGAGGGTTGGTATAAGGGTCACGATGGTCAGAATAGGGGGCACAAGGGTCAGAGTAAGGGACATAAAGGTTAGAATAAGAGTCACGAGTAGAAATAAGGGTCATGAGGGTCGGTATAAGGGTCATGATGGTCAGAATAGGGGGCACAAGGGTCAGAATTTCATTCTGTCCCAGTCAGTTTATTTCATTCAAATGTGTCATTTCTCCGGGTGTATTCTCCTTGAGAATATGAGAATTCTCGGCGTGTATCAGAATACGTGAGAACGGAGTCATTGCGTGGAATAAAACATCATGATTAGCACGATATTTTTTAGAGCTGAGGATTAACTCCGTGAGGAAGGGGAGGAAATTCGCTCTTTCCTTCTGATGGTATCGGTGACGCGGAGTATGTTGATTTTAATGGGTTTTGTCTGTGTGGAGATGTTTATTTACATGGAGAGGGAATTTGCCAGTTGCATTTCAAGCGAGCATTGTTGATTAATTACGGTGGGGGGTAATTGAGGAATTTCTAATATTTCGCGAATATCTTTTGAAGGAATGGGATTGAAGAAAAACAAGAGGGAAATTGCTCTCGTTACAACATAGCCAATAAATTTTTGCCAATAAATTGGCAATTGGCTTCCAAATGGAATATCTATGAGGATTTATTTTAAATTGAATTCACTGATTAAGTGAATTCAATTTTCGAATTTTTAACTTTTAGAAAAAATTTGAAAATTGAAAAAACTAATCGGTGAATTAAATTTTAATTAATGACGATCAATACACACATCCAAAACCTGAATTTGAACGATTACAAAGCTTCCATTATTAATTGAATTCAATTTCCGAATTTTTATCTTTCAGAAAAAATTTGAAAATTAAAAAAACTAATGGACGAATTAAATTTTAATTAATAACGATCGATACACACATCCAAAACTTGAATATGAACGATTACAAAGTTCCTATTCGGAAAAAAATCGTAGTCTATGTGTATGGAGACCGAAAGGCAGAAAATTGTGAATAATTTTCGAGGAATGAGATAGCCCAGTCCTCGGGAGACTGGTTGAAGCCATCCATGACCTTTCTCGGGCATAAACCGTGGGTGGAAGGAATCGGAATTTTCAGCCCAGTCCCCTGTTCAACATCCATTCTAATTACTCCCCCCTTTATTCACGACACTGTGAATACGACATTTCTCGTCCCGAACACGAGCAGCTCGAAGGGATTCCTCTGGAAAACATAATTCAGCACTTTTCAATGCATTTTTCATTCCACCCGGTGATTTTAAAATACACGAGATGATGAATAGAGTTGGACAGGAGTCATTAAGTTAATGTCAGAATGCCAGTGTGCATGGATTCCCCGTTTGGCAAGCGCTGGAGAAAATCCGGGATAATTATGGGCAATGGGGAGATTCCTTAACATTGCACTGCCTTGGGGCAACTCGTTAAAATGTAAAATGTTATGTTCCTTGAGAAATCTCTGGGGAATCCTCACTGGGTAAATGCAGTACGAGTAACAATTGTCATTTCTCATTTTCAACATTCACTTGGGGGAATTTTTTCGTTACTGGGGGGAGTAATTTGTACCCTGAAAAAGCGAAAATTCAATCGTTTACGCCGCTAGAAATTCTTAGAAAATCGAATATAACCGGATTTCAATTCCCAATGTTCTGAGTGTGAATTCAATTCATAGTAGTTTAAATAGACTTCAGTTCATAGTAGTTTGAATGAACCGTTTACGATATTTTAATGATACAAATTAATTGATTGAATGTCGAAAAAATTGACCGGCAGCAGAGAAGAGGGTGTCATTCATCGAGAAGCGGATGTCCAGTTTCCGTGTTAATTTCGCCAGTTACAGTCTGATGCGCAGTTGCTCCCGCAAAATGGGAGGGAGAGGGCGGAATCAGGCATACAGTTAGTCTCACACACATCCTAAATTGGTGGTGCAACAGGAATTCAAACTCCGGTCAAGTGACTGTTGAATACAGACACCACTCATTACGAGGAATTTACCGACATTTCCATTAAGATAAAAATCTTCTTTTAAAAACTAAGCGAAACATTTTTGCTCAGCAATGTATTTCTATTCATTAAGCATATGCTAACTTAGGAGTTAGGGGAATCCAGCCTCAAAGTCAGTTTCGACTAATTTTTTTTTCAGATTTTCAAAATATTCTCTAACGGTTCGCCATCGAGATTTAAATTCAGAGCTGCACAGGTTAAATACTAAAATCATTGCGAAATTTCCGGTGATTTCGGGTTAAATGGGGCTCAAATGAAAGCTCCGATGTTCCATTACAGAAGTATAAAAGCATTTCACTGGAGAAAAAATAGTCAAAGCACTTGGATATCCTTAACTGAACAAAAAAAAGTTGGAGCCGTTGAAAGCCATAAAATCCAGAATTGAGATAAGGCGATGTCGCGTCGAGTGGGAATGCCCAACGGAATTGGCTGTATCTTGAATTTCCTCCACTTTAGGTATCCTTGACTGCCCCTCAAAGGGTATAGGGGCTGGGGCAGGGGGTGGCCAACTCTGTGTATCACGGTGCCAAGGTTGAATGAGGGTAGCTGCGACCGTTGGAAAAAAAAAAATATCTTCCACATTCGAAATCATGCGGGCGAGAGGACAGGTGTGTGCAGCTCCGCATTGTGCGGCGTGACCAGTGGGCGTAACGCGCTTCATTACAGCAATCGTGATTACCCCCGCAGGATTTTCTGTTTTCTCGTTGTGTAAATAATCAGTTACCCCCCGGTACAGTAGCGAAAAAAAGACGGGAGCCCGATTGAAATACGAAAGTCGCAATTTTTTTTTCATTTAGACATTCTGGGAATTTCTAATCCAGGATAATCAACAGTGAGTAAACACAGTATGCGCTGTGTTTATCGTAGAATTCACCAGACTTGAAGAATCAAATAATGGCAATGGTAATCCGGAAATTTTGGGTGAATCCTTGCTGATGACTGGTGAACGTAGATGTTGGAGTAGTTCGTCAATCATAATTGAGTTTATTGAGTAGTTCATATCTTCGTCCGATAAACACCCATAATTTCCACGGAACAAATGATAATTTCAAGAGGAAACTGCAATTTTCTCTTCGAAAACTGTGTTATTGGCAAAACTAAATAATTTCGAGGGGACAATTTTTTTGGGGAAAAAATATTCTTTCCCTAAAAGATAAATTTTCTAAAAGATATTAAATTTTCTTCTGGAGTAAATGTTTCACTTCAGCTAATTTTTTCGCTCAATGTACAGATAATGAATAAAAAATTCCCCTAAAAGTAATTTTTCAAAATCACCAACAAGATTGATATTAAAATTTCTTCTCAGAGATGCATTGAATGCGAATAAATGAGGTTTGCAAGAGATCAAATAATTTCCATTATTCATTTATGAGAACGCAATGTCGAGAAAACGATTTCTCTGCTAACGTAATCCAAATGAACAAGTAGGAGATAAAACAACGCCTGGCATTTCACAAAATTCGAAATTCAAAATAACTCTCGTTACTTCGATTCTTCCAAAAAAAATCATGTACTCAATTCGAAATTTACGAACGAAGCCAAAGCGCCAGATTCCAAGTCCCGATAAACCTCCGCAATTTCCCTATCCCCATCCCACGACGAGAATTAAATCCACGTGCGCACATGTGAAGCGCGATTGCGCGCCAAAAAATTCATCCCGTGACTCGTCCCAACCCCCTCCATTCAACCGAACAACTAACCCAGTTCAACCGCGCATTTACAACCGTCTCAGAAGACTCTCGATTTCTCCACGAGCCATGCACACCCATCCCCCCCCCCTCCCCCGGGACACGTGTGTCGACGAGAGATCTGCCCGCTTTTTTTCCCTTGTCCACCTTCTTTGTGTCCTCGCCTTCCTTTTTCTTTCGATTTTCACGTGCCCCTGCATCTCCCTTCCTCAGCACTCTTTTATAGCCGTTGCATTCGACATTGAAACGATGATGCATCGGGGAAGAAAGAGCTCGGAGTTAGTCAATACACCGAGGCCAAAAGGTATAAAATTGATGTAAAGTCTTGAAACTTGGGTACTTTATGTATTTTGATGTGGTGAAACCGAATATGTATTCTTTGCAAATAAGTTAGGCATTTAGGCAATAGTCATTGGCAATTTAATTGTTTGAATATGTTCATTGTCGCCATTTTGATTCGTATGGAAAAAAGCTTCGAGTAAAAAATGTAAAAAAATAGCAAAAAATTTCCATAAGTGTGCCAGAAATTTCCGACAAAAATTGAATTCCCCACTTTTCCTGCCGCGAGAAGTCGTCTCCCCCCTATTGCATTTATTTTCCTCCACTCCCCAGGAAAAAAACCCCAAAAAATCCCACTCACATCCCTCCATCCTCCTCAGCTCCCAACAACCTTGCCCTCTCCATCACCCCCCTTTCCGCTCCCTCCACCCCCCTCCGGCAACCGTATACCTGGAGACTTTTCAAAATCGCTTACCATAATCCGTTGGCCGGTTAGCAATAGCCAAAGCCTTGGGACATCCCGCCAATTTCACGCGCACCCTCGACGCGCGCCAATAGAATTTGAACGCTGTTCCACGTCTGTAGTGGGGGTTAACCTCGTGGTGTCGGTGCGTGCTTGCGGCGCAACCGCCGCAGCTCCGAAACACCAGAAACAGTCGGACCGCCCAACCGTGCACACACCAAATAATTTCCGAATCCATTCCAATTACATAATTTCGTCGATCATCACAGAGAACAGTCGATTCCACCGATCACAGCGGCGTAAATCCCCCGCCCCCAGTGGATTAAACCAAGTGTCGCGCCAGTTCCATAATTAATCCGATCGATTAATTGCGCGCAACCTCAACCATTTTTCTCCGCCGAGAGAAAAATCGCGCAGTCAGCGGTTTTTTTTTTCATTTCGTCTCAAGTTCTGTGAAAACCATCAAAATTACTCCGAAACGGTGTAAGATGCTGGCCGCTTCGATCCGCCGGGAGGTGCACTTGGGTAATATGCTGTCCGCAAGGATGCAGTCGCGTGTGCCTCGGTGTCTATTCGGCCCGCCAAATCCCAAAGACACGGTGGAATTGCTTCAAGAGGCTTTGGACATGGAGAGAAGTAAATTTATCAGCCGATGGGGAGTCGACCCACGTGACGAGGATAAGGAGAATTTTCAGATTGTAAAGTGCGAGGGAAGATCGCCGAGGAAAAGTAGGAGTGCGCCTTACAACAGGCAAACAAGCATTCACGGTAAGTTATCATTTTGCAAAATTTCGTCGATGAAAAATGCGAAAAATCGTTGATCAATTAACTCCATCGATCGCTTGAATCAACGAGTATTTTTCCCCGGAATTTTTTTTCGACTGAAATTGTCACTTGTTAACGATAAATTGCTTTTGACGCGAATACATCATCAATTGGCTCGATATCGAAAGCAATTCTGGAGCGGGGGATGCATGGGGAAAAGGCCCGCGACGCACGGGCGTCGGCGTCTCCACGTTGTGTCACTTTGGCGGGAAAACTAGATCGACAACGGCCCGTCGGCACTCCACTGGTGAATTACCGGGGCCTCAGAGAGAAAGAAAGGACTCGTATCGGGCGCGTGGCCGAAACCCGTTCCAGCATTTTATTCGTCTCTCTCTTCGGGTATTTCTCTCTCTTTCTGTCTAGTGGGGCTTAAAACTCGACCCTTTTTATTATTCCACCAGCCTCCTCCATCTCCGCTGGCTTCTAGTTTTACGCCACAATGCAGCGTTTGCTATTCTACTCCGGTCAACGTTGAAATACGAATTTTCAATGGATCAACTTTTTTTTCGGGGGTTTTGCTGCCGAGTGGAGGCATTGTACTCGTCAGCTCCGAAATTTTCCATTTTTTGTGGCAGGATAAATTATTTTGGGGACAGGAATTCGAATATTGTATTTTTAGAGCTTGTCCGGATGGACACTGAGGGAAAAACAGCAGTTCTCAAGCAAATTTTACTTGTGTCAATAAATCGTTTGTTATAAATTATAAAAAAAGGGTTTTTTTGTGCCAAACGTGCACTGTTAGAAAATTACTCTTGAAATTAGTTTAATGAAAAATCCACGACACTAAAAATTACTGAGAAACGTGAAAATTCGGGCAACTTTTCTTCTGAATTTTAAATCTGTTGCTTAATTTTCGCGATAGGTTTGAAAATCCAAATTGTCGTGGAAAATCCAACGACAATTCTTTCTAAAATAGTGCTCGTTTAAATTGAACATTACCGTTCGATGTACCCGAGAGTTAGAAAATGTGAAGAATTCGTGGAGAGGATGCCCCCAAACGAGTCTGGACTCGCACGCGTGAATCACTGTTCAGTCACTCCTGACTCATGCCCAAGTCCACAAGCGAAATCGCCTGTACTGGGCCCGAAGGACCTCTCTGACTCACCAAATCCCCTCCCCAGACCCATTATTCAGTGCCCATGTACCCCGACGTCACTTAAGTTTCTCCGGAGAAAAAAAAATGTGTAATTGTCGAATGGCGCGTCAATCACGTGATCATTGAGTTCTCTTATTAGAAATAATAACAAAACAGTGTCATTACTTTGGAGTGCAGAGTCGTGAGAATTCCAACCCTCGCTAACGATAAGATCTTCGCCCTTATCGGGAATAGCCACGGGTAAATACGAGGAGGGCCCTATTTATCCAAGAGCCTGAGTGTTCTTGACAAAATGGCCGCCAAGTGGCTCAACAAAGAACTAAAATAACCTTAAACTCTTTATTATATTTCTGAAGTGTTATCCAACAATCTTGAAGCACTTTGGGACAGGAAATGGGGCGCATAACGGCTGAGAATTGGGGAGATGGCGATCGCTACAATAGTTTGCTAAATCACTGATTTTCGAGAAGGGAATTCCCGAATTTTTACGGCGCGATAAAAATGTCAAATAGTCCGATACGAGAGCACAACTGATAAGAGTGAAATTATGTCGTTAATGAGTCATTTTATGAGAAAATGTCGGAAATCTTGTAGACAATTCAACTGTCTACAAAAAAATTTACTATCCCACCTCCTCCAATAACTTGGTAATGACGTAATTATCGAATTAACTGGAAATCTATTTTCGTTATCAATTTTTTAAAATTCTCTTTGTACTAAAATATTTGGGCTCAAATTGCTCGCTAGCCGCTACCCATTTACTAGGAATTTTTATCACGTTATAGTTTCATTGAAGTTTCAAAGAATTTCGTTTAAAGAATCATCACATTTGAAGAAACCATCAGAATGCTCACTTTCAGTGAAGTTCATGAAAATTTTTAAAACAAATCAAAATAACGATTATTGATATCGCCTTCCTCTTTGAACTCGGCCAAAAGAACATCCAAACAAATTTTTTAAGCCATCATTCAATCAATTCAGAACATTTTTTTAGTTATCGTGTGACAACCGATTTTCGAAATAAATCGAAAATTAAAAACCTAATCGATTAATTCAATTTTACCAATCGCAATCTCAACAATACCTACATTCTTACTCCTTAGCTCAAACTAGGTCGATATCATTCCCATCGTAAAAAGAGAAAAGAAAATCGATCTCGACATATCTAAAAATCTCGAATAAACGTAAGCGTAAGACTGAAATCGAAGCGCCACTACGTGAGGAGATGACAACGCGCGTGCGTAGCACGCGCAGCCGATCTCGTAATCCAAAAAATCCAAACCCCAAGTTAATAGCAAAACGAATCCAACTAGACAGAGTAGGAAGCCCGATCCTATCTCGGAAAAATCGAAATCTCAACGCTAGATTATCACCACCCTAGACCGGAAGAAAGCGAGTAGTCAGCGGAGCGCGACAGAACTCAGCGAATGCGGGTCCTTTCGCGACACCTGTTTAGCACCGTCGTAAGGCCCTCGTCCAGTCTCTTTTTCCCACGTTTAAATCGTTTGAACACGCGATACCCTCAGTATTGCGGAGGAGTCCTCGGTAAGGTCGTGCCACCACCTGTTCCCTTTTTTTCCAAGCAGAGACACACATCTAGGCGAAACGAAGGGAGTTCCCCCCGCAATCTTGGCACGAACGACGATCCAAGCTGTTGATAGAGCTTAAATCCGAAGGATTGTGACGCCAGGCATGACGACTAACGCCGTTATCCGTCTGGCTCTCATACCTCCATTTGAATTAACTCGTCGCTAATTCGATGACGCAAAATCTCGGCATCAAGCTAGACTCCTTAGACACGATATAATAAATAAATAAGAGAAGAAAACCCATCAGCCGAAAGCCATTATGACATTCGAGTGAAGAAATAATCGTCGGCGCTAAATTACGGTATTCCGTTCCGGTTTTACACCAACAATTCTGTCTCCATTGTTGTGAACACATAGCAACAGACGTCTCGGTTTTTTCTGATCCTTCCCAAGCGGTCGTCGACCGCGTCCAAATCATTGCGGAAGAACTTCTTCTTTCTTCTTTACACCATTTTTTCCTCACTCTCTCCATCGCCTGGTCTAAAATGCCTTCAACGCGATTGCATTTGTTCCTGAATGCCCGCAGTGTCGTAAAATGCATAACGTTCTCGGTAGGATGTATCGTGAGAAGGTCCTGAGGGGAATTGAAAAAAAAAATAATAAAAGGGAACCTCTGAGAAAAGCCAGTAGAGTTTCTTCCTTGAACTCTCAGAATGGAGAAGGGGAGACTTATGATGGAAATGGCTGTGTCGTTTGCGCCTGATTTTTCCGGGGAGAATGGTGGATCCCATTGAAATCAACTGCTGATCTTTATGGGTGGCACAATGGTCTTCTTTGTTCGGTACTTTGTCATTTGTACATCGAGACGTATTTCACTTCTTTATCGTTTGGTCATTACGTGTCTACAATGTTGTTTGGCAGATGACGTCAAGCGTTAGAGGAAAATGCAACTGATGAAGGTAATGGTGCTTTTCGATGTCATTAAATTGGATTTCGATCGTTGAACTTGGCTGATGCCAGGGGATGTGGAGGTTGGAGTCTTTATTCTGGGCCTTGAAGGAGGCAGTCGTTGGAGGGTAGGGAGATTATTACAAAGGAATCCTAGCAAGGTGTACGCCAGGTTTGGGGATTTTTTTTTTCTACGCAGTCGCTCAGGTAAACGACAGAAAGTGCCGGATCGGTTTTAAACAGATGTTGTGGGGAATTCTGGGGAGAGGAATATGTATTCGGAAATTTGGTAGCGAAGTGGTGAGGAATGAGCGCAACAAAGGTATATTTTACGATTTATTATGCGAATGTCTGTGAAGATGATGTGGGTTGTGAGAAAATGTCGAAGAACTGTTAGTGATTTTCTCGAAACCTCTTACTTTCAAAGAAATTGGCCAAATGGGAATAGCTTTCTTACGACCTTCTTCGCGACTACTTCAGGAATGGATTCGTTGAAGGATTGACTTGGAATGTAACTGAGGTGAGGTAAAAGGATATGGTAGAGGTAGCTCCAACCTTTTTCACTTATTTTTCAGTTCCACAACTTCAGAATTCAGAAAGAAAGAGCTTTTCTGAAAGAATTCTTCTTTGCTGACAATCTTACTTCTTTTAGTGGGCAATTTGGCATCGAAGTGGCGAAGAGTAAGGGCAACTTCAAATATATTTCACAAATTCTTTTGCGAATACCTGTAAAACTAAGCCATTGGGTAATAAGCAAAACTTCAAAGGACTTTTGATAATTTTTGTGAACCTCTTCCGTTCGAAAATATTCACCAAATGTAGATCTCTTCCTGTTTACCTTTCTCCTGACTACTTCAGTAAAATCTTGATTCTGGGATATCCACATTTAACAGAAAGTTTTCACCATCTCACCTGTCACGTGGCACGTCTTTTGGCATTCAGCAGAAATAGGGTCGTATGAGGTGACAAGCAGGACAAGAGGGAGAGAGAAAAGAGTAGTGTCTACAAAGAGCTAAAATAGAGAATGGAAAAAGGGAGTGCTCAGGTGCTACCTGACCAAAGAAGGGTGTTCCTTTGGACCGAGGGAGCAAACGAGAGTCCCCTCCAAGACTTTTTTGTGGTGCCCTCCTTTGTTGTGGAAATCTCGTATTTTTGGTAGGGGCGCCCCTCGCCACTGCTGTGGGGGTGAGGTAGAACCATCTGTGTCCTTGCTTTCATATTTCTTTTCGTTTTAGCTCCCAACGAATTCCCTTTCTACGTCTTGTGTTGCAATTTCCTACTGTTCCGGTCAATGTCGCGTAATACTATTGTCAGAAGCCGAAGGATTTGCAGAGTTTACTTTAATCTGATTACTCTCGCTAGATTTAGACATCGCTTTGAACAGTTTGTGGATGATTTCACTCATGATTCGCATTTTTCTTTGTTACAGACTACTGGAGAGCAAGGAAAATGTGCGATGTCAACCCGAAGAAGTCTTTAGTGTCAGCATCGGACATGTCGAAAAAACCGCAAGACCTTCAGAAGCCTCAGAATTGAGACATGCAATAGGAGAGATACATTATTGATCAAGACGAAAGTCATGGATGCTATTAGGTTCTCTTGAATCTAACTCATCGCAGTGATTAACGATTTTCGGCTATTTATTACGGATGAAGCGAACTGTATATTTATTTTCCTCCCATTCAACGAATCATTGTATCAAGCTAGATGTATTAATTTTAGACGCTATGTATGCTTGTCTTTAGCTTTTTTGTACATAACTTTTTTCGAATGATTAGTGGAGGTTTGGGTGGACTATCGTGAGACTTTTATCATCGAACTGATCAAATGGAGTGTTTCGATCTTCACGAGATGTGGAAGCCTCTTGTTCGGATCGGAATGAGTATTAAGTGATTAGATTAGATGTACTATTGTTCGATTACTGATTGATTTATTTGTTATACGATAATGGGGTGGGATCCCTTCATGATTTCGTCTCACGAAAGGTTCATCGGAAGCCTGAAACGGTTGATTCTTCATTGAAGTCAACGATGCAGCGCCTCCAAAGACTAATTAACTGATTGATCAATATCAATAATGAATTATGAAGGTCCACATAAACCTTGTTCCTTTTTATTGGGTTAATGTGAGTACTATGTATAGCTGACTCTAGGATTATATCAATTCTAGTCAATTGTGTTTAAGGCTTAATCGATATAATAAAATACTGAGGAGATTTCTTTGAATTGTTTTGTGTTTGATACTTTTTTTGTGGTACTCCTTGGCATTTATCTTTTATTATCGACGTTGTGGAGCTGGTGCGAGTGATTTTGGGATCGAATGGCGTCAGCAATGGGACGTCGTGCTGACGTTATCAGTCCTCTGACGTCGGGGGAAGTACTGGTGAATGAATTGGTTCCATAAATCAAATGTGAGAAATTTGAGTGGTGGTGGGAGTGATTGATCTTGATATCGTTGGTTTTTCGATGAATAGTGGGGGTGGCGGAGAGGGCTGAGGGACTATCGCACTGCGTCGGGTGCGTGGAATCAATTTGGTGATGAGGAACTGGAGATAAGCCCAAATGATTATTTTAGATATCTCAGGAACTGGTGGGGGGTTTAAGGATAATTTTTGAAAGGATGTTTTTCGTAGTCTCGGACATTTTTAAGAAAGAGGATTGGGGGGACTTCTTTTGACTCTTTTGGTACACGGGGACGAAAAGTTTGGGCTGACACGGACAGAAAAATTGAAGAAAAAATTTCAATTTCTCATTTTTTAATTTTTTTATTCCAAAATTAATTATTTATCGACCATTTATGGGCCATAAATAATGAATTTTTAAATTAAATCAACCAGAAGGTTTCTATTCATGGTAACTTTCGTTTAGAATTTATTTCAGATTTTAATCTTCAATATTCATGTTACGTTTCCACTGCTTTGAGACATATGCGTGAAGAGGGTGCAGTAACTATGGGGATTATTATGGGCACCATCCGTGGGGGTGCGTGAGAAGAGAAGTGGAGAAGAGCTGAGGGAAAAGTTTGAACTACTAAGGTCAAGGTCCATCTCCGTCGGTAAATCTCGTGACCCGCACATGGAAAGTTAGTGATTTATCTCGGATTTTATCATGTAGACTCACAGAAGCTGCATCTGCAGATTTGATCTCAGGGTCGTTCTTCGTCTAATGGCTTTCCGATATTCGTAAGGTGTTTCGGTTGAAAAGTCAAATAATGAAAAAACATTGGAAAATTCATGGGAGAAATTTTCTAAGTATGCTGCATCATTGAGAATTTTTGCACATTTCCTTCAGATCTCAGTTTCAAGAAAAAAAATAATGAAATTTGGATGTTTTTGTAACCCCTCCAGCTATAACCTCCGAGGTCACCCCATTCTCAATTAGGCAATTTTGCATGACACCCAAAAAAATAATGAACTATTGAGGAAAAACTAGTGGGTGATAAATCAAATCTTTCTTGAGAACACGTATAAGTTTCAGATTTTTTTTCAGATTTCATAAGAAAGTTATTTCAACTAATAATTCAGAAAATTATGAGTTTCGTATGGGTTGGACCCTGGAACCGAGAGAGAGAAAACACTCGACAGGTTTACCAACTCGAGCCGCATTTTAATATTATTTCAATAATTAGAATAACATAAAAAAAAATTATTTGACCCCCGTAGGTGATGAGAAAAAAATCAATCAATCCGATAAATAAAATCAATAATCAAAAAATGTTCAAATGCGCACTTAAATACTTACTTGAAAATTGGAAAATTTCATGCAAAATATTGGTGTGCCTGGAATGACAATTTAATGACGCAATTAGAATGCCAGGACTAGCTTCCTATCTCCGATCTCCCAGTGGCACGAGTGTTCCACCCACTGATGCCCAATTTTTTGATCGAATGTCCACGTATCTATGTATAGTACCCGCAAAATCGGTGGCACGCGTTCGGGGTGGAATCCCCGAAATTAGGCAGCTGAGTGCTAGGAAACATTGGTGAATCGCACAATTTCTAACGTACGGATCCACCTGGACGTGTGCCATGGGGGTCGTTGTCACGAAGGGGTCAATACCAATACCAGGATCAGACCGCCCTCAATCCTATCCCCATATAACGGGACAGCAGCAATACACTGATGTGCTGGCAGTGGTGTGTTGGCTCAGTTGCTGGATGGAATTGAACATGGGGGCGGCCTGTCAGAGGTATGGTTAATTATAATGTGGTGATGCGCCACAGTCTGCTGTATCGCTCGTGCCAGCTGCACCGATACTCAGTGCGTGTCGCATTATCTATTTTTTTGTAATTTCAACTAATTTTGAAGTGACCATCAACAATTTCTGGCGCCCCCTGCTGACAATTTGCTGAGTAATGAGGGGAGATAAATTGAAAGTCGAAATTTAATATTCAATTTCATGGAGAGGAACTTTTCAAGTGTGACGATATTTTTCAGTTTTTGTGGGCGAGAGGAAATTGAAAATCTACGGGTTCAACGCGACTTTGTGACTCCAATGATTGAAGAATGAAAATTTATTTCGATTACTTCAAGCGATTTTTACTATTGACAGGTTTTCAGGGAATATCTCGAAAGCTGAGGGAGATAGCAAAATTTTTGTCACAAACTTTTTTGCAGCCATAAATTCGCTCTATAAGAAAGGTCATTACGAAAATTTCGTTATCTCCTTTAGATTCGGAGATATTTCTCGAAAACTCAGCTAAGGGCTGAATCGACTTGAACAGTTCAAGAGAAACTGTTTGGCAGTTTGTGACAGTTTCTGATCATCCTCCGTTCGATTTTTTTTTGCAACATTTCACTGGAAAAATTAACCGCTCATCGAGCGCTTCACCGGCTGATTGATCCGTATTTCTCAATTCGATCTGTCGGCCCTTACGACTCAATGAGAATTTCTTTTTTCAACATCTGGAATTGGATATTGCAAACGCATAAACCCGTACGTGCGGATTGTTTACCGTTTTATTTATGGTAGGCCGTAAAGTCAGGGTGATATACGCACAAGATGACAATTATGTGGCACTTTACGATACGATGAACAACAATTCGCTGGAGGAGCGCGCTCGAGAGACTCGCCCCGGTCTTTGACGTTCAGCGATTTTTATTTTTACTCCCGAGATTTTTTTTTCAGTACTTAAACAGCCCACGAATAAAGCTAAAGGATCCTGACGCGGCGAGAATACCTGGAGTCTTAAAAAATGTCGTCTTATATTTCTTCGTGAATGGGTGGGAGTTGAGGATTAGATGAGCTACACCACGAAATCGTCGTTTGTAAATATGAAATTCACACTTGGACACACGGTGGAAGTAGACTTGGTTCTTCGCTTGGAGATAATGGAACTTGTCCTTGAGCGAGCCTAGTTTCAACAAAAGTATCGCGAGTTAGAAATTACTCGGGTCGAGATGAAACATTTTTGGCCCGAAATTTCAAGTCAAGAAGCTGGAAATTTTTAACAACCACAAAGTTACATGAAATTTCTCGATATTTCTTTGTTGACGAGTCACGCTGTTAAAAATTTTTGTCTGAAATTTCCGGTACACTTTTTGGAAATTTTTATCGAATTTATTTACCACTAGAAATTTATCGAAATAAATTTCAGGGAATTTCGTCATTGAAAATTCAGAATTTCGTGGAAAAATCAGAGAGAACTGTAAATTGTAGTTCTATTTTTTCCTGATAATGAATAAAAAAACAGAAAATCATGAAATTTCAGATTACAATGACAATTCAATGTAATTTGGCACTGAATATTCATAATAGATTGGAAATTCATTGAACAATCAAATATTCCATTAATATTCTGTTCAAATGTTCTAAAAATCAATAAAATATTTGATTTTTCAGTTCAATTATTCTACGAAAATTCAGAAAAATCAGGAAAATTCAGGGAAAAATTGAAAACCCATGTCATTTCCACTGAAAATTCAATCTAGTTCTGAAATTTCCATCTCACTCCCACCGAAAACTCTTGAATTTCCGTCAATTCTACAGAAAACTTGAAATTTCATAACTATTTTTCCCCTACCTCCGATTCGATGTCAACCGCATGAGAATGACTACCGTATTTTCCCTGAAATTCCAAAAAATTCGGTGAAATTCTCCTCAAATAACTGATAATTTCCTGAAACCTCAATCTTATTTCCCCTCTCCGCCGCAATAAATATTTTTCACGTGAAAGACTTCCAAAATATTTCGGAAACTCATTTTATCACTGCAATTGTGCCACTCGGCAATATTCCCAATCGCACGACTTTTTTCTCCGCAAGTGACTTTAAACAACTCGAGGCTTCCTCGCAGGCCCATAAATGTCCATTAAACAAAACGGTGAATATCGGCCTGGGCCAACAGGACCGGGGATCTCCGAGCCGCCTGGCATAACGAACGAACCGTCGGTAGCCAGGTCAAGCCGAAAAAAAAGATACAAAAACCGAGCGAGATGAAAAAAAAAAGCCGGAGAAATCGCGAGTCGTAACTCAGTCGCGGTGCGATAAATAACCTTGCGGAAGACGAGTAGCTCGAGGTGAACACATGTTGCTATTTATGCGAAAACATGACGGGGACTCCTCACGCCGGAATACCGGGGAACAATGACATTATCGGGAGCGCCTAATGAACTCGTTCCGTGCATTTATTATTTTCGCTGAGTCGTTTTGCCAAGGTACGTTCATCAGGTTTTATGTACCACCGGGACCATTTTCCCTCCTATTTTTTGCCCGCGCGGTTTATCAGAGACGGGTCCGTGACACTAGGTTCCATGCAAATGACTGCAATGGCGGACGGGCACGCGTCCAGAGAATAAAAGGATGTGCAACCGGCGGCTCAATTACGGCTATTCATTGGGTCATTACCGGGCCCATCAGGAGAGGAAAAAAAATCTTTTATTTTTTGTTTTTGGTCCTGTGGGTTTGTGGTAATTGGTGACTTGTGTCGCGACTTGTTTGATCGATCGAGGTGAAGAGGGAATTAATTATTTTTAACGGCTACAGTTTAGAGATTGGTGGAGGGGGCGAGAACTCCTGATTCTGCGCGATTTCGACGTTTTACATTCATCAATACTCTTTTTTTATTGTACAAATATTTGATAACAACAAGTAATGTCGACCGAATGTTTTTAATTTTCTCCCGTGAAAACTTTATCAGGAGGCACTTGCATGGAAATTAATTTTATTATTTTCATGAGGACGAATTCGTTGTACGTTGCGCATTCGTTATTTCAACCGGACCATAA